CCTGGGAACGCCTTGGAGTTCCCCCGGAGGAGCTGGAAGAAGTGGCTGGGGAGAGGGAGGTCTGGGCCTCCCTTCTGAAGCTGCTGCCCCCGCAACCCGACCCCGGATAGGCGGAAGAAAATGGATGGATGGATGGATGGTGGTGTATTCATTCTCTGACATATATGGAAGCAGTCCAGTGTACATTGATGCTATTGGGGTGCCAAGGGAGGTTCCCACTGAATTTAAATTGATCGATTAGGTGGCAGCTGGCTTTGAAAGCATTTTTACCTTGGATTACCCTTAACAAAAATGTAGATCATATCAGTTTTATTCATTTTTCTTTGCAGAGGCTTAATACATTGACCAGGGATGAGAGGGAGATATTGGAGACCCTGAAAGCCAGAGCCACACCACCGCCCTGCTGTGAGGACCAACATTTCCTTCTCTCTCTGCTTCCTCTCCTGAAAAAGGTGCCTGATCATTCCAAGGACTTTGTAAAATTTCAAATTTATAAATTGTTATATGAAAACAGCTGTGTTACACTTAATTTGGAACCATTGGAGGCTACTCAGTAATTTTTTTAAATGACACGGCATCTTTTTCAGGAGAGGAAACAGACCTCCCTCTYCCACCACTTCCTCCAAGCAAGGTCCTTTCTTTCCCCATTGTACATAATGTAAATAATTTTAAATAAGTTTGTTTTCTGTTTTATATGTATTAATGGTTTTTCAAAAATAAATGTTTTATTGCAAAATATTTGGTATTCTACTTTAAGCTCACTATACTTATCTTTCACATAATTCCATGTGGTTAAAGGTTTTTCAGTTATTGTAAATGTTTTCCTTTATAATAGCTTACTTAATGTTCAGAAGAAAAAACAATGTCACAAAATAAGCACAGACAAAAGCCAAAAAGTTGTTGGTGCTGCGTTTAATTAATTTCACCAAGTTAACATTACAAATAATCACAGTCTTGAATGTGCATGTTGTTAAATTGTGATTCACCTGGAGCTGGAACCAGCAGCAGAGTCCAGGCCGCCATTTTCTTCAGAAAGGAGCGAGACAGATAAACAACACAAAACATAAATGACTTGATAATGTCGTCACATGAAAGCAGTAACATGTTGGAATAATGCAAGAAAAGTCTGCGTGTATGGTCGTCATAAATGATTTAATTCTGAGCAACAGGCAAACAGGACTCAATCAGGAAGCTCTGTCGGCTCGTCGCTGACACATCAGTAGGCACAACCAATAATATACACCATGATAACATCATATGACATGCTTATAACCAATCACAGATCGCCTATTATACTGTCAAGCCTATCACAGGGCTCCCAGCTCAAAGAGTGTCTTATCAAACAAGAGAGGTCAGTCCGTTGCGGAGTCCTGTTGTCTGGGCCAACACAGATTAACATTGAACAAGTGACACAGATAGATAATTAGTCCATAACACTCCCTCCTCTTGAGTAAACAATACTCAAAACCAAACCAAATGGAATAATTATGAAACATCCAAACACAAATGTATCACTCAACAGATACAATGGAGAAATAAGAGAAAAATAGTGCAAGTTAAATGACGACCAACAACACATACATTCAATCAATGTAAGATACAACAGGAAAAAAGGCTTAAATGACAAGTGAGACATCATAACTCATCAGAAGAAAAACATGTCGAAATTTTAAAAAACTCAAAAGCCCAAAGTTAGACAAGGTATCACAACACAAGTTCTGCCTCCCAGCGAATTTGATTGCGTGAGCCGCCTATGTTCCATCAGAATCTTATCTTGGATAAAGTGGTAACTTAATAACAACTAGTTGTCAATTAATGAACCTTAAGTAATGCAAATTAGGACAATGTGCAAAATACAGTTCCCACCCCGTTCAATTCAAAATCACTAAAAACAAAACCCACAGTGCCCATAAGGCATGAACAGAAAATGCATGGATCACTGGCATGAGCTGGCTTGTGCAAGGAAGAGAAGAGCACAAAAAATAAAAGTGTAACAAAAAATAACAAACAAAAGCTAAACCTAAAGTCTAAATAAATTAAACTAAAGGAAATAACACCCCCCCTTCTCTTGTCACACCTAAGCTAAACTCTAAAGTAAGCCTAGATCTAGTCCTCCTGTGAATGACATAGACGTTGTTTAGACAGCAACTCTCAGCTCCCCGTACCTCAACGGCAAAGCCCAGACAGGTGAATTCTCCCTCAAATATGTCTTTGTGGGTACCAGGCTCGAGGTAGCAGAATACCCCCTCCCCAGCTTACCACAAACTCAGGAAGGAACAAATAAACAAAAAATATGACTGCCGTTGGAAAAGTCTCACCGAGACTCAGCTGACAATTACCTAAACTTTACCAGGAAGCTGCACAGAAGGACAAAACACTAGAAAATCATAAAATAAACAAAAATAACAAAACATAAAATTAAAAATAGCACAACCCCCAAACCATCCAGAAACGTCTAAATGTTTAAAAATTATGTTTTCCCCAGAAGAGGGAGCCAAATACCAACCCAGCTACCCAGGGCGCCAACCAATCCCTGAGAGGAAAAAAACACAGGAAATCTCAATCATTGCACAGACATAAATGTTTTGCAGGTAAAATGGTGAAGCATTTAAAAATGCACAATAATAAGCCAGTCAGAAACGCACAAGGTTAGTCCAGTATTTCAGATGGGGGCAATTCATATCGAGTTTCATGGAGGCAGGAAAAATGCAAACAGTGTGGTGAAAAGCACTCACACCCAACTAATGCAGCTTTAGTTCTGTTCTCTTTATGTCAATAAGGCAGGGGGTGTGTGATCAGAAACCACACCAGAACAGAAAGGGCCAAAGGTGTAGCGTTTTAGAACCCTCATCCAGAAAGAGAGCAGCCGCCAAAACACGGCCTGCTCAAAGTTGGAATGTGAAGATGCGGGATTGATGGGTCCCCCCTCAAAAGGACCCCTAGGAAACGCCCGTTGGAAAGGCTAGCACGAGGTGGCGCACAGCTCCCAGCAGGTCCAGGAGGAAATGGAGCAACCCCCCGATGAGAAACAGCATTGTCCCCACGGAAAAAAAACACACACAAAACACAGAGAGAAAAGACAAAATTAGAAAAAAATTCAAAAACACTCTTTCAGATAGACAGGTCGTGTGTGAAACTGATGACGATTAATTCATATAATTATAGTTTATGAAACAACATAACTCCAACACACATCAGTTCTCCGTCTTATCCTCATTTATAAATAATAATGCCCTTGTCCTCTGAACAAAGGCCAGGGGGAAACCAGGTGTCATATTTCGTAAACAGATTGCACTTCTCTCTGCTGCTTTCAGCAAAAGCTCATTCATTTAGCAATGTAATACAGTCGACTGGCTCCCAGGAACTGCCCGTGAAAACAGGTACGCAGTCTTCCCTTTTATGTATCTATGCAAGTAACTTATCAGCTCTGCTGCACGTCTCTGCAAGACCAAACAAATTTGCAGCCTCAGCTTCACACGTGTTGGGGGGAAAAACCCCGCCAGGAAGAACTGATGACATCATCACCCCACACACGTACACACATGCACCCCCTTCCCTCAGATACCCACGAGCTGGACCCCCACACCCTGTAAATGTGCCTCCAGTTGAGATCCAGCGAGCATGAGTGAGCCAGGTCGTGGTGCTGAAACAGTTCCCCACTAGCCACTCAGATAAGTCTCGTCGTGAGATAAAAACCTAAAATGGCTGAGGCAAAAACTGAAACAGCAGCGAAGATGTGACAATATGAAGTGTTGTGAGATAAACCGACGTACGAAATGCGTGCAGCACGACACAGTTAGTAGTGGAGGTCTACCTACCTTTCTAGAGTGTTTTAGACTGTTTTGCAACAACATGGGGGCAAACAAGGTCAGATCTGAAATACCCCACAATGCGTATTTAAACTAAAAAGATCCACCATGTGAGACTGCCGATTCGCGGTGGTGTTTCTGCAGACTCACGGTCATCGTATTTAGTTTTAAATTAAAGAATATGCAAACAGTACTTCGTTATCAACACGTTTAACCATGGTTTTTTCCTTTTCCCTCTGAGGACTTTCTTTTTTATTGATAAGTGACTGGGCATTTCAAAAAATGCAGGGGACCAGCTAAACAAAAATATCACAAACCTCCCTGATGGCCACAACCACTGGCAAACATTATGCAAAATTCAACCAAACCCAAACAACAAGTAATCAGATGTTCGTATTTCTCTAAATACTAAGATCAATTTTCCAAGCTCAGTAAGACAGATAGTCTAAACAGGTGAAAACCATAATAACCTATTGAAAAAACTAAGCACAAAAAGATAAGGTTTCAAAATCCAAACTGTGTAGACATGCCACACATAGGCAAACCACTAATTATGCAAAAAACAACCGTATGTCAAACAACGTCTGACAACCGAAACATAATTCAAAAAGAAATAAAATTATCAGGTGCACCTTTAAACCCAGAAATTAGACACAAAGGGAAAGGATAGACAGACAAACAGAGCTAGCACTACTCTTCAGTAAACAATAGTAAACAAAAACAAACCCAAAATAGCCTTTGTCAAATAATGTAAATAAACCCAAAGGTCAAAATCAAAAGCTTTCCCACAAAGCCTTTTCTTAAATTTGGTTAAATAAATGTCTTGAGAGGCCTCATATATATATTAACAAACACCATTCTGTCATCTTAGCAAGATTTGATACAAGGTCAATGGAAAACACAAAGATAACATGACATGTTATCAGACATAACATGAGTTCTTCTCTTGGAGGAGAGATTAAATGTTTCATTAAAGAAGAACTCGTCCAGAGGACCTACTTAATTTTTATTTTTGATTATTCTTCCTAGATTGCTGAGATGCATCAGGAAATAATACAAATATGCTAAAAGGTTCAGACTCTTTAGGTTTGTGGGTGGCTCTTAAAAGAGCCATTGTGGGTCAGTCCTGTGGAGGACCTGACTACTCCGTGGGCTGCCATGACACTGCTCCCTCTTCACAGAAGTAGGCCATGAACGTTTCTCTGGCATCTGTTGCCTCTCTGGCCACGTAGTTCACTCCCATCCACCCCACACCTGGAAGTGTGGTTCTTCATGTGGTCCAGCTCCTCCCAGTGCAGGTACCTGCCCATTTGCCCTCATGAAATTGTGGAGAACACAAGTGGCCTTCACACATTTCTCCACAACCTYTGGGGAGATTTCCAGCTCCCGGCGAAACATTCTCCACTGGCCAGACCAGATCCCAAACGCATCCTCCACCACCAGCCTAGCCCGTGAGAGACGACAGTTGAAGACGCGCTGCTCTGGGGTAAGGCCACCACGTCCAGGGAAGGGACACATCAAGTTCCTGCGCAGTGGGAACGCCTCATCTGCCATGAAGACGTGGGGCTGGGGTCCTCTGTGGTCAGCTCCAGGGARGTGCTGGTCAGGAGGCAGATTGAGCGTGCCATCATGCAGAGCCTGACCAAAGGTGGAGTTGGCCAAGATCCCACCATCACTCGTTCTGCCATATCCCCCAACATCAATCACCCGGAACTTGTAGTGGGCATCTACAAGTGCAAGGAGGACCAATGAGTGGTCTCCCTTATAGTTAAAAAAAGGGAGCCAGAGTTGGGGGGTGCCTTTAATTTTATGTGCTTCYCATCCAGAGCACCACAGCACAGAGGGAAGTTCCACTGCTCCTCAAACTCCTCCGCAATGGACCTCCACTCCTCTGCTCCAGGTACGGGCATGAACTCCTCCATTAGGCAATCCCAGATAGCTGTCACCACATCTGGGAYGATGGTGGAGACAGTGGAAATACCCACTCGGAAGCTGCTTGCAATGGTCCCGTAGGAGTCACCAGTTGCAAGAAATCTGAGTAAATAAAAACAGAAAATACTCAACTCTTTTACAGAAGTTTCATTTCAAATAAAACACAGAAAGAGAAATAGATTGGTTCACTAGTGGTTGAGTGAAACATAACTTAATATACTTAATTGTGTGTGTGTGTGTGTGTGTGTGTGTGTGTGTGTGTGTGTGTGTGTGTGTGTGTGTGTGTGTGATAAGCAGTGTGTTTTTGTGGCCTTTGTGACTTAGC